CCTGGATCGCCCCAGGGATTTCAGGGTTACTCACTTCTTCCTGCTGGGTCCTCCTTTCCAGGGGATGGTCCGGGTGATGAGTCACCCACAGGACTTCAGCAAAGTGTCTCCTGCTCAGACACTGTTGGGCTCATTGCCAAGACTTAGGCAGCTTGCCTTGGCTGCACAGGCTAGAACAAATCCTAGTCCCTCCTGGCTGTAGCTACCCTGGCTTATGAGAGGTTCTACCAGCAACCACATCATGGGAACAGGCCAGTCCCAGCCTGGCAACAGTCTCCCAGGACCAATACAACCCTTGCTCTTCCTTCCTAAAGCAGACCCAAGGGCAGGCTGCAGACAAGGGGAAAAAGTTAAAGGCAACAGTTCTGCCTGCCAACAGCTAACAACGTTTGAGGCTGTTTTTAAATGAAAAAGAGAAAAAAAAAATATGGCTACATCTCAACCGCTATACTATCTTAATTAAGTCTGTTAGATATGGATCAATAGTGGATTAGGTATAAATTTTTTATTCTTTACAGCTTTCCACATCTTAAGCAAAACAATTTTATTTTTTTCAGATTAAATTTGCAAAACCTAAAATTCAGTTGCTGTGATAGAAGCAATGTGGTGGATGAGGTTCGTGGGAGCAGTTAGATTTCTCTTGAGATGAGAATTTGAACCTTGACATTGTAGAATGGGCAATTTGGTTTCACATCCTTATGACTGACTTAATTTTCTCAACAATTTTCTCTGTCTGAACATCTAGTAAATTTTTTTTTAAAGATTTATTTTACAGGAGTGGTATGGTAGCCTAGCAGCTAAAGTCTTCGCTTTGCATGTGCCAGGATCCCATATGGGTGCTGGTTCAGGTAGTGCCAGCCCCGCTTCCCTTCCAGCTCCCTGCTTGTGGCCTGGGAAAACAGTGGAGGACGGCCCAAAGCCTTGGGACCCTGCACCCATGTGGGAGACCCAGAAAAGACTCTGGACTCCTTGCTTTGGATTGGTGCAGCTCCAGCCATTGCGGCCACTTGGGTAGTGAATCAATGAACAGAAGATCTTCCTTTCTGTGTCTCCTCCTCTCTATCTGACTGTTAAATAAAACTAACATAAATCTTAAAAAAAAAGATTTATTTTACTCGAAAGTCAGAGTTACAGTGAGAAAGAGAGACAAAGAGAGATCTTCCACTTACTGGCTCAGTCCCCAAATGGTCAAAATGGTGAGAGCTGGGCTTATGTAAAGCTGGGAGCCAGGAGCTTCTTCCAGGTCTCCCACAGAGTGCAGGGGCCCAAGGACTTGGACCATTTTCCACTGGTTTCCCATAATAAGCAGGGAGTTGGATCAGAAGTGAAATAACCAGGACTTGAACTGGTGCCCATATGGGGTGCTGGTGCAGCGAGTGCAGGATCAGCCTATTGACTATGCTGGCCCCTAAACTTTTTGCTTATTTATTTATTTAATTTGTTTGAGAGGCAGAAAGTTGGTGATGGGAGGGGCCAGTTTGACACAGATGGAGAGTGAGGTCTTCCATCTCCTCATGGCCACATGCTAAGGGCTGGGCCACACGGAAGTCAGGAGCCAGGAACTTCATTTTGACCACTCATATCCGTGGTGGGGGCCCTAGTACCTGTGCCATTTCCTGCTGCCTTCCCAGGCTCATGAGAAGTGGAAGGGTCATGACTCAAATCAAAACTCTAATTGGGATGCTAGTGTGGTTAGTGGCAGCTTAACTTGCTGTGCCATAGCCCCTCTTTAAATTTGTGCCATGAAGTCGTTGAATCTTCATGTGCATAGAACGCTGTCATCCACAAGAAGCATCCTACCCTTTTCCTTATAGCCCAAGAAAATTAGTTATGGTTGGTGCCAATGTAAAATTGAATATAACATTGAGTTGCAAGGTGGTCATCTCAGGATTTAGAAATTCCAAGTGAACATATTATTTTCTCATAAATATAACATACATGACAGCAAACATTCACATGCTTTTGTAGAGAACTTGCAAACAGATATTCTTAGACTCCAGTTTAAGACATAGTGGCCTATTTATGGGAGACTCCAATGTGATCCAGCCACCACGGAGCTTGTTAGAAACACATGATTTAGGCCCCTCTCCAGACCTAATGGATTAAGACCTGCATTTTCTTTTTCTTTTCTTTTTGCTTTTTAATGTGAAAGCCAGAGAAAGGGGTGGGAGGTGTGGGAGGAGAAACACGACTAACTCTTGTCAATCCTCAGCTGTCTACAATGACTAGGGCTCAGTTGGGCAGAAGCCAGGTACCAGTAACTCAATCTTAGCCTCTCTTATAGGTGGAAAGTGATCAAAATTTGGGTTATCATTGACTATAGTAAAAAGCCCAGGTATATAGAGTTCTTGACCACTACAGATCTTGCCTTTTTGGGGCCAGTACATTGGCTCAACAGACTAATCCTCAACCTGTAAGCGCTGGGACCCCGTATGGGTGCTGGTTTGTGTCCCAACTGCTTCACTTCCCATCCAGCTCCCTGCTTGTGGCCTGAGAAAGCAATGGACTGGCCCAAAGCCTTGGATACCTGAACCTCCATAGGAGACCTGGAAGAAGCTCCTGGCTCCTAGCTTCAGACCAGATCAGCTCTGGTTGTTACAGCCTTTGGGGGAATGAACCAAAAGATGGAAGATCATCTGCCTTTCCAATAAAAATAAATAAATAAATCTTAAAAAAAACTTGCTTTTTAAACAAGATCCTAAAGTAATCTGTAAGCATATGGAGGTTGAGTTCTACTTATTTCCTAGTTTATTCAGCTAGCCTGCAGGGATACGGGCAGAGTTTATAGTATATTTTTCTTTCTCTTCTAATTAAGATCGATTGATTTATTTGACAGAGTTATAGAGAGAGGAGAGAGAGAGTCCTATCCACTGGTTCACTCCTCAGTTCGTAGCAACAGCCAGGGCTGGCTGTGCCAGGAGGAAGCCAGGAACAGGACTTCTTCCAGGTCTCCCAAGGGGGTACAAGGGGCCCAATTACTTGGATCATCCTCTGCTGCTTTCCCAGGTCATCAGCAGGGAGCTGGATGGGAAACAGAGCAGCTGGGACTTGAATTGGCAGTCCCATGCGGATTTCTACAAAGAAAGTTCTATTTAGGCATTTTTGTGTCTGGCTTTACAAAAAGAAACCAAACATATTGTATGAAGTGTCCAAAATAGGCACATCCACAGGGAGTAGAAGGCAGGTTTAGTGGTTGTCAGGGGCCGGGTGAGGAGGGAATGGAGAATGACAACTAATGCGTACAGAATTTCTGTTTTGGTGTGGAATCAGAGGTGATCATCTTTGAGATTGAATAATATCGTGGTGCTGCTGCACAACTTCACACCTATGCTAAAAATCAGCAAATCTGTACAATTCAAGGGTGTATTTTATGGCATGTGAGTATATTTCAGCTGTTTGAAAAGCGACCTTCCCACAGTCTTCTGCAAGAAGATGGCTTTGAGGTTCAGATTTGTTTATCTCAAGAGTGCATCCTGCAGAGTTTCCCAAAACAAAGGACATCCCCTCCTCCAGCCGACACTCATGTGGAGACTCAAGTTGTATTTATGTTACATGTCAGATTTCTATTCTATAAAGGTCACTGTGGAAGACGGATGGGTGTGGAAGGAACAGACTGGAAAAGGGAGGAAGATTCCGGAGATGGAAAGATAGGTGAGTTGACTCCCTAGAGTTCAGTAGAGTTGGCTTGGACAAGATGAATCCCACTCTGGGACGTGGCTGAGTGTGAACCTGCTTCAAGTCCTCTTCCTGAACCCTGAGCCGTGAAAGGATTCAAGCATATTGCTCCAACAAACTTCTTTCTGACCAGGTGTCTTCTGGAGAAGGTGTGTATGGGGATGGGGGGAGGTGGACTCAAGGCCAGGCTCTTGCTTGCCAGAAGCTGTTAAGGCCAAGCGCATGAATGGCAGTTGCAATTACACAGGGCTAAGCATTGTATAACAAGATAGACACTGTGATAAGGACAGGGAGAAGGTACAGACCTTCCTAGCAGTGTCATCTTGACCTAGGGCAAAATTCTCACCGTGTCTTTGGTCGTCCGCACGGGCTGACAGGTGGCGGCGGATGAGGAAAAGGAAACAGCATGAACAAGGCCAGGCAGAATGGATGGCCCAGGGCAGCGGAGTGGGGGCGCTGGGGGAAGCCTGAAGCAAGTCCTGGCAGCCACATCCCAGCACCTCGTGCAGGCAGCGTCTCCCGACTCCTCGGTAACCCTCAGGCTTCTCGGCCCTTCCCGAGCGGGGGCGGGGTCTCCGTCCACGCAGCCAATCAGAAATTGAGGGCGGGGCCCGTCGCTCCACCTCGTCTCCGCCTCCACCGTCGTCTGCACCTGCGTGTGCCTCCGCGTTCGGGGCGCGAGCCGAGGGGGCGAGGGGGTGTGGCCTCGCCTCTCGCGAGACCGCCTCCTGGGGCTGGCGATGGGGCCCGGGTGCTGCCGCCGTCGCTGACTGGCCGCGCCTGCGCAGCCGCCATGTTCGGTTGCTATGCTGCGGCCTAGGAGACCGGGTTTACTGGCGGGAGGAGGAGACGGAGGAGGAGGAGGAGGAGGAAGGGGTGGAGGAGCAGGAGGGGGTTGACGGAGCGCCTACTGCACACTCTCACACACACAAACGCTGCTCAGGCTTCCCCGCCCGCTGCTGCCGCGCTGCGCGCTTTTCCGCTCCTCGCGGCTCCCCCACATTGTTCTCCCGGGACTTCTGGGTCCACAGGGGCTGACATCGGGCCTGAGCGGAGGGGACTCGGCGGTGGCCGGAGGGTCGGAGGCTTCGGCCCCCACCCCAGCCCCTCGCCTCGGGCTCCCCTCCCCCACGCCACTTTTTTTTTGGGGGGGCGGGTAGGTGTGGATTAGCTCATCCTCGCAGGGAGGTGGGAGCCGGCGCCGGCTGCCCGCCTCCCCGGCCCGCCGCAGCCCCGCAGGATGAGGTGGTGCCGGCGGCTCGGGACCGTGGCGCGGCCGCTGCGGCGGCGGCTGCTCGGGGGGCGCTGAGGGAGCCCCCCGGGGCGGCGCGGCGGACGCGCTTCTCTCCCCGGCGCGCGCCCGGGCCTCGAGGCTTTTTTATTTTTTATTATTTTTTTTTCTTCAGCCGAGAGGACGCGGCTGTGATAACGAAGGTAAGAGGCTCCTTCTCTTCCCCCAACCCCACGGCTTCCCCGGATACCCCCCAACCCCGCCACCTCCACCAGCCCGGGTTCCCTCCGGCCTCTGGGCCCTGCACGTTGCATGCCCCGCTGTTACCTGGGGCGCATGTGTGTGTGTCTTGGGAGGTGAGCCAGGTAGGGCAGGCGGAGACACCAGGTTGAATTTTTTTATTAAAAAAAGTGGGGGTGGGGGGCTAAGAAGACGGTTTTTCCCCTTTCTTCCTGGGACCACTGGAGTTCCTGGGGTTTAGATTCATTAAGGGGCTGGGATGGAACGGCGATGGAATGTTCTGCACCTGAACTCTGGGTGAGGCTTATAGAATCTCCCGAGTTTTCCATTGCCGGTGGAATTTCCTACTTTGTAAATAATAATAATAGGCTCGTATGAGCGCTTACACACTGCAGTTTGTATCCCTACCATGGAAGTTTTAAGCCCCTTAGGCTCCTGACAGTATAGACCCGTATTCAAGAATCCGTAAAAGGAGGGGGGGGTCCCCTTAAAAAGTTGTGTTGTAACTAAATACGAGTAGGGTTGCAAACCTCCCTCTCGCCGGGATTTCCTTCGAATGGAGCAGTTCACAGTTGGCACAGGTAGGTGTTTCTGTGGAAAACTTGCACGGAGACTTGATGTCGGGGCGTGCAGCCGGGGCTTGACATCAGTGTGTGCAAGGACGCTGGTAGGGTGCGCTTGTGGAAGGAGTAGAACCAGTGCAGCGCTCGCTAGCCGCTTTTCCAGTAGGCTTCGGTGAGACCTAGTTTATGGACCCAGATCTCAGGGCCCCGTTGGCACAGTTCAACCCAGTTGGCCACAATTTAGAACATGTGGCTAGAGAAAGCCAAAAAGCCAACATATCCGACTTGTACAAGATGATCTGAATGGAAAGAAGACAGTGAAAGCCACAGCTTTTGAAATCCTGGTTTTTCCTGAACCTTCTCATGATAAAAGGAGAAAATTATTTTTTCCCAAGGGGAGATGGGGTGACCCCCTAAAAAATATTCAGAGCTCTTAAGTGTGTCTGTGGAATAGTTGCATCAGTTGGAGCTTGAATTTGATGGAAAGAACAACTTCTAAAGGGAAGACTGTTTGTACACTGAGCAGAAACTCTTTTACTGATTCCTGTTAAAGAGTGCAATCATTTTGTGGACACCACCATTTTTTTTTGTCAGAATAGATTTATGCTCCAGTTAGCACAAAAGCCATTTTTCTGTTCTTTGTTACACTGCATTGAAACATGCACAAGGTTCTATAACATGATTTATAAGGAAGGGCGTCGTGATCGTTTTTGTATGTGAGAATATTGTGATTTAGTTAATCTGTTTTAAACATTTTGCAAGGGAATTAAAAAAAAAAACAAGGAGGTATCAGTAAAGTGTTTCTTAATAGTCATGGGGCAGGCTAAAGTTTAGGAAGTTGGAAAAGCACAGGTTCCTCGAAGGTGGTAGGAGATGAAGATGGAGACTCTTTGTACCTGCTTTCTGACATCTCAGCTTCTGGCCTGTGGCTCTTGAATTGTGTTAAACTTCTGTTTTTTTTCCCTATCTTCTAATTGAATGTGATAAGTCCCTAGTAACATTGTTACTTTAAATTTGTGACACCCAATTTCTAATTTAAGTAAGGCATAAAACCAGCATTGATTGAACACACTTACTAAAAATACTTTCTGGGTCGGATGTACTTACAATGCAGCCCCAGGAAGATTCATGGGAACTATTCTGTGACCAGTATATATTTTGTTGTTATTGAAGCATTTTTTAGCAATGCAGAGAATCTCACATTTTAGATTTGATTGGCACAGGCATAGATGTCAGACTTTCAGTAAGTGTATAAAGTGGGATAATAAATTATGTAAAGTGATAATGAAAAAACCTTTTTTGAAAATTTATGACCTGCAGATGCTGTTAATAACTATGGTTTTGTCCTCTAAACATAATTTGAGTTGTAAAGTGATAGTACAGTATGCATTGTTATCTGTTCAATATTTTAGGACTTCTCTTAAATTCTGTAAGGGGAAATCAGTGATCATGCTTTTAAGTAAATCATCTTTTAGGAACAAAATAAGCCCACCAGGTAATTTCAAAGAGACACTGAGAGTCTTTTTTTTTTTCCTGTTGTGATATTTAGTTAATATGGTCACTTTTAAACAATAACAAAACTTCTCAAAAGTATGTAGAAATCTTGTTTGGTTGATATTTAAGGGCAGGTGGTTAACAGATCCTGAATTCTAAGTTATTAGAAGTCAACTCAGCACAGTTAAGTATGAATTGTCTTCTCAAATAGAGTTTAACTATTGATAGAAATGCATTGCTTACCAACTGAGTTGTTTTATTTTGTGATTCGTGCATGTTATGAGATGTTATATATGTGTGTATGTATGTGTGTCATGAAATCTTATGTATGTATGCATATATATGTGCCATTCCCTGTCTGGATTTGTTGAATTTGCTGGTTTACTGAGATCAGCTATGAGGCCTTGAAGATGGGTGTAGCTAACTGGAAGTCCTTATTGTTTGCCAGACAAGTACTGTAGGAGGAAGGTGTTATTTCTTCATTTAATATTCAGTCAGTAGTACAGATGGTGAGAAGGAATTTAATGTAGAAGTACGGTAGACTTCTCTGTTGGTGTGGAAGTGCAGTCTGGGAATAGCATAAGTTAACACAGTGAAATATACACGGAATGGGGGAGAAGAGGAGAGAATGGTTACATTCTCTTCAGTTTCATTACCAGGACTTAACCTCACATTCATTCTTCCTTGCACTGTTTAAGTAAAGCTGTGGGAGAAAGGTGTGGATGAGGAAATTAGTGAGGGCACGATGAAATTAGATACTGTGGACTGTCTTCAGGTGAATGTATTAACTTGGTGGGTTGCTGTGTTTGAACTTTTTTTTTTTTGGACAAGGAAGCTTTCCAAAGTAGCAAAAACAGGCAAGGACTGTCTGTTAAGTGTCAGTCAGCCTACAAGGGCTTTTCACGTTATCCTGTTTAATCATCAAGTACACTTTGTGAGGCAGGCATTATTAATTCCCTGCCTCCCTTCCTTCCCCTTGAAATAGAAGCTAAGAGATATTCAGTAACCTGTCCAGGGTCATATTCCTAGTAAGTGCAATTCGAACCAGCCCTGTCTCATGCTGAAGCTTGTGCTTTGGATCAGTGCTGTCTAGTTGAACTCTCTGCAGTGATGGAACTACTTTTCTCCAACCTTTATTGAAGTATCATTGATAAATATGGTTGACAGGTTCCCCCCCCCCCCAACTGTTAGATATGCTAGCCATTAACCTTGTGTAGCTGTGGAGCAGTTGGCAGGCGACTTTAAAGTTGTGTTAAATCAGCTTCAATTTATAGCCTGACATGTCTGTCAGCTACACTACGGGACAGCAATAGCTTTTGATTTTGGTTCACCAACCCAGTCTTCCCCCCAACACTTATAATTGTTTGTAGAAAGGCAGTGCGTTAGGTTGAAACAGCATTAGAATCTTTAAGTGCCAGTATGCTACCTTCCCCTTTAAGAATATTTGGCAGTTCTCTGGCACTTTTCAAGTCAATTCCAAACCCAACCATTTGGCCTTGAAGACTTTCTACCACTTTAATCTCACCAACCTTGCTTCTCATTCTTGGCTTACAAAGGAAACATTGTTTTTTCTTTTCCTCTGCCCTTGTTTCTTTTTTATCCCCAACTCTTTCTAGTCTATGTGCCTCCTCTTTAATTCTTTAAAATTTATCTTTTTCTGAGAGAGAGAGAGAAAGTAAGTTAGTTTAATCCAATCACAGCTGATCAGACTTTGAGTTCTAGTGGTAAATGCTCTGGAGTTAGCATATGCTTATTTACATATGTTTTAGTACATCCTGTTCATGCATTTTCTTTTTATGTTGCTTACAAAAGGGATTGTCTGTTTAACCCATCGTTCAGCAGTACTTTAAAAAGTTGCTGGTTTTAAAAAAAATGCTGTAATAATATTTACCCTCTTATTACCACTTGAGTAGATATTTGTTTCCTTCTGGGCAGTTGTCTGTATTTCAAAAACAAAGTTTCTATATCTAGGTTTTAGGTTTATATAATAGCATACACACACAGTCTTGTGAACTTCTTGGCCTTGAATTGTGAAGATTCAGATCTAATGTTGTATCTAAAATACAAGAGCTGATGGATGAGTGGCACCTGGCATTACTATGCTTTCTGGTTCCCATCTTCATTAATATAATTTCATTGATTGTTTAAGCCTTGATCATTTACCATAAATTATTGGGTTACTTACCTTTTGTTGAGTTTTGTTATTGGTGGTAGTAGTTTGATTTTTTAGTCTAAAAGCCTATTGTATAATGCCCCAGAGTTATGAAAAAATTCTATATTAGATGTTATTAAAATCCTAGATTAATGTTTGTGTCTTAGAAAGTGATTAATTTTTCATATGTTTTGATTAATACATTTAAGAATTTTTGGTGTGTGGGAAGATGATGTATAGTGTCCTTTATGTTAATTAGACATTTGAGTGTCCATTAAACAACAGTGGCAAAAAGATAAATAGACATTCTTGTCCATGAACTAAAGTTCTAGGTTGGTAACATTTGAGTAAACAATTATATTTCCGAGAGACAGTGTAATAGGATCTGGGGGAAGTGAGAATCACATGTGAGGACAGTCTTGAAGGATGAGGTGGAATTGATCTTGGTAGAGAGAACAGGATGTTCCCAAAGCTAGAAGTATGAAAGGGTGCATAGTGTGCTTGGAGAAATGCAAGTTGTGTTTGTGTAGATTTGTCTCTGTGTGTGTATGTGCAAGCTCATGCACAGGCTGGCTCTGGTGGAAGATGAAACTTGTGAAGGGACTTGTGTTGTAGCAGTGAATGGGATCATGTTGAAGTTATTGACATACAGTTTCCTAACTGATATGCTAGTTTGGTACTGTTGGGCATATCTGAACATTCAGTATAGTTTCTTTTGGCTTTAAATAGTCTCTTTGGTTTGTCCCAGTATGCT